CTAGTAAGTGTCTAAAGTCAGATTCCAACACTCAAAAATGAGTCTTTCTGATTCGAGGCCAGGCACTCAATCCACTGTTCCCACCTTGATAGCCCAACTCTATACTACCCTTTGCCTTTCTGATTAGAGGATGGGGCCATGAACTCATAACTTCCACGTACTTAGACAGCTCAGCTCAGACATCTCATTTCTCACCTAGTTGTACTACTTTGAAACTTCCCTGATTTCTCCATCATGCTCCCCTGTGGGGTACCTACCCCCACTTTTCAGCTTCTTTTTGTGCTGACTTCACCCATTAGAATATAAGCTCCTTGAGGGCAGGGAATGTCTTTCTTTTTACATATTTGTATCCCCAAGGCTTATCATAGTACCTGGCACATAGTAGGTGCTTAATAAATGCTTATTGATTGAATTGAGATAACTATAATTTGCAGCATACATTTTAATTTACATAATAAGTACCTTAGAAAGTATAAAACTATAAATTCTCAGGGATAAAGTCCTACTTTACTCAGAGGGAAGGAAAAGTGTCATCAAAGAGTCACATTTAAGTAGGCTTAAAGGATATCCAGAAATGACTGTGATGTAAAAACAAAAGGCACCAATGAAACTTCATTTTTAATTTTTTTAAGATTTCTAAGTGAATGGAAATCAACCATCAGTATATAGAGAGGAGAAGGGAAGGCATTCTAGGCGTAGGGAGCAGTGTGAGTAAGGGGACAGCAACAGGATGATGCAATGTATCTTCAGTGTGGTGGAATGGAGTCCAGTTTAGCTGGAGCATGGAATGGGTCATGGTGGGTAATAAATGACTCAAAAGTAGGGTGACCTAGGAGTTTGAAATTTATTCGAGAGGGTATGATAGGAAACTACTAAAGATTTTGAAGCATAAAAGTAACATGATTATGAGTATACCATCTCCAGCTGTTACAATCTAGTGTTCAAATACCAAGATCCAAGATGCTATGGAAATGAGAAAGCAAGTCTGTAACCCAGTAGCAGAAATTACTCTCCAAGGAATGGCCATCAACCTGTGTCCTTACCACAATCAAATGAAGTCTCAAGGCTGATGAAATCTTGCAGAATGATGAGGTTATCCTAAACAGTTATGAGGGTCAGATTACAATGCCCTACCACACATACATCTCTTTTTTTTTATTCTCTTTTTTTCCCCGTCTTCTTTCTCTTAGTTCTCCTCCCTTAGACTTTATCTGGTGTTATGTGTTCAGTTCTGGGTGCCATATTTTAGGAAGGACATGAATAGTAAGTTGGAATGTGATCTGAGAACTGTAACCATTATGGTGAGATCATGCCATATGAGCATCAGTTGAAGGAACAGGGGATTTTTAGCCTTCAGAAGACCAATGAAGAGCATCTTAGCTGTTTTCAAAAAGTTAAAGATTGTTGAAGAGTATATTGAAGAGTAAGCAGACTTTTTCTGTTTGGTTCCAGTGGGCAAAAGTGATGGAAGTTGCTAGGAGGAAAATTTAGGTTTGATATGAGGGAAATCTCCCTTAGAGCTGTCCCTACCACTCGATAGGATTCCTCAGCAGACAGTAGGTTGCCATTCTCTTAGAAGTATTCAAAAAATTTTTAAATAAGGTTTCATTGATGTTTTTTTGTTTTTACATCATAGTCATTTCTGGATAATACTCCCCTTCCTGTTCCCTCCCCACTTTGCCCAGCCCTTTTAAGAAAAACAGTTCAATAAAACCAATTGACACACCAACTATGTCATTTGGTCCACAAGCATTTATTAATCAACCACTGTGTTCCAAGAACTGTGCTAAATCTTGGGGACAAAAAGAAAGGCAAAAAGCATGATCCTTGTATTCAAGGAGCTCAAATTCCATCAATCAATAGATTAGATTATAAGCTCCTTGAGGGCAGAGACTGTCTTTGGCCCATTTTTGTATCTACTGTATTTAACACAGTGCCTGGCATATTGTAGGTGCTTGATAAATGTTTAGTGATTGAAAAGTCTGGATGACCACTTGAGTCTGTTTTAATGGAGATTCTTGTTTAGTTATGGGTTAGACTAACTGGTCTCTGAGATTCCGTGATTCCTCTCTCCTAATCTTTTTTCTCATCTCTTTCTTATACTCTCTTTTTACCTTCTTCCCTACCAACAAGTTAGGCCTGCCGTTCTCTACCCTCACCCAACTCCCCACATTCCATTCATTTTAATTATGCTGGCAGTAGTCCCATAAGACAAAGTTTCTGACCCTTGTTCTGGAGACATGATGTAGCCTTTCCCATCCTAGAGCTAGTAAGCCTACTCTCTAAAAATCACGCGGTCAACATCCAGCTTTCTACATTTGACAACAGGACAGGGGGCACTGGGAAAAATACCATATACATAGCCCTCACATTTCTGGGAGGACAGATAATAAAATAAGAAGATCTCTCTCTGATGTGGATTTTTTTTACCATTACAAAGGTAAAAGGTTGTGTGAAAAGAAAAATAAAAGATATCATCAAAGAAATCCATGAATGAAAAAGGTGGGCTAGTCACATGACAAGCTTGAGGCACAGCTGATAGTTCCATCGATTGGTCACTCACTCCTCTGGTATCCTTATGCTGTTGAGAGAACAAAAGGAGTGCCCTCAGCACATTGGGCAGATTTCCTCTAGTGCATTTACAGAGGATGTAGACTAGAGCGGCATATATTGGGTAGGCATGGATGGCTTATGAGCTACGAAATTGGGAAGAATACTAACATCACTGAGATCCTAGATTCACTGGAGTCCAAAGAAAAGAAGACCCTTTCTGTAATTTATGTTCTGGAAGACATAGCTTAAACTTAGCAGAGATCCTTTGTGGCCTAAATATGCCACTTTGGCATTCCTTTTCTCCACCAGTCTTTACCATTGTGATAGAGAACACAATACCCTAGCATTCGCTCCTTCGGCAAATGATCTTAGATTTACTCATCTCTTTACTTGCTTATTGCTTAAGAGAATAGAATGATTTTGAATGGACGTCATTGGCTTAGCTCAGTGTCCTACTCATAGAAGGCACTCAGTCAGTTCTTTGCTTGTGGAACCATAGGATCACAAAGTTAGAATGAAACTTAAAAGCCATCAAGTCCAATCTCATTTTACAGATGAATGAAATGAGAGGTTGAAGTGACCTGCTTGAGATCGCCCAGGAACCAACTGGTAGAGAAAGGATAAGAACCCTGGTCCTCTCACTCTCTCCACTGTATCACATTGTTGAACTGATGTAGAATGAAATACTTCCAAGGAAACATTTATATAAACAGCTCTAAATAAGTTAATTTCTTCATAATTTTGCATAACATTTTTATTACTCAGAAGTCATTAATAGAAATACTGTAAATACTGCCCAGTGGGCCTCTCATTGTTTGTATTATAATCAGAAATTACCTAAATCTTCATAGACTAGTCCCATCATTTTTTATTGTGGGAACTGATGTGACAGTGTGGGGTATGTTCTTGCTAAATAAACAATCTGGAAGGAAATGATGGGAAAGACGGGGTTTCTTTCCTTCTCAGATTAATCATTTGGAGGCAGGAAGTCTCTAAGTATAGTGTTTCAATCTCCATCTTCATTGAAAATCAAAGTTTCCATTTTTGAAAGGAAATAGAACAATCCTTGAGTTAGCTAGTATGACCAATTACCTAACCCAGTAGGAAAGTTAAGCTTAGTTCTCCTTTAGAGATGGTATTCTCTTCAAATGACTTCCAGGTGGTAAGCATTTTAAAAAACCGTGGAAAAAAGTTATTGATGGCTCTAATTTTCCAGCAGCGAGGTCACATAGCATACATACCAAACAAGGGGTTAACTGCCTATGAAGCCAAAGTAGTCACATCAACCATTCATCAGCTTCATATAGTCCATTCACTCAGGGGACAAAAGCAAACCAGCATCAATAAAATTTACTAGGAATTTATTAAGTGCCTAGCACATGCTGGGCACTTGCTAGGACCTGCAAATACAAAGACCCAAACAAAACGGTGCATGACCTCAAAGAGTTTGTGCTCTACTGTAATTGTGAATGAGTAAAGAAATAATCATTCTCATTTATTTAATGCTTTAAAGTTTGTAAAACACTTTACCTACATCATACCATCTGAGCCTCACAATAACCTTGTCAAGTAACTATCCCCATTTTAGAGATAAGAAAACTGAAGCTTAGAGAAGTCAAATGATTTGCTGATAGTCACCTAGTTAATAACAGCCAGACTTAGGATGTGAACCTAGGTCTTTCTGACTGCAAGTTTGGCTTTATCTACTACGCCATACTGCCTCTTATCGTAATAGCTGGTATTTAGAGAACACTTTAAGCACTTGCCATATGCTACATAACACAGCTATGACTACATGTTTCAAAATACAGATTAATTTTTTTTTTTTACCCAAGAGAGGTCTTTATCCAAAGGTATTCAATTGAAACCTACTTTTTTTTTTAATTAAAAGTATTTTCTTAAATTCATTATTTCATCCATGAGGTACTACCACAATTGGTGTAAATTACAGTCCCTTTACATTTCCTGAATTGCTGTGGCTAAAAGAAAATTTGATCACTTGGAGGCTAATCTTCCAGGGCTGAGTTTCTGTGTGCTTGGCAAGGCTGGTCCTTGGACAATTCCCACATTTTCTATCACTAGGACCAGGACTTGAAGCCCTTCCAACTTGGGAGCACCTGCCAAAGTTTGCATTCCATTGAGAGAGCCTTCAAGAATCCAGGGTCACCTCTACAGCATGATGGAACATTAGCATATGATAAGTTTAAAATTCTACATTTTTTATGTGCTAGTAAAAGAATAAGATAATTTTCTGAGTTTTCGACTTAAGAATTGACTTTCTGCTCCCTTGTCATCACCGAATTATCACAACCAGAGCAGAGGTACAAACTTTTCTCTATTTATAAGGATCTTGCTGCTGCAGCCTTGCCATTAGCATATTTCAGGGATACTTTGCACTTAATTTGCATGATTATTCTTCTCTTTTTTTCCCCCTCTTCTATTTACAGTTTTACCGAGATGCAAAAGACTGGTGGCTCTTCGGTTTCTATTTCTGTGTACCGTTAGCATGTACTGCCATCTTTTATACCCTAATGACTTGTGAGATGCTCAACAGAAGAAATGGCAGTTTGAGAATTGCACTCAGCGAGCACCTTAAGCAGGTAATAATCATGGTAATGATTTGCATTTATACGGTACAGTACAGTACAAATGTCATCCCATTTGAGGTAAACAGAAAAGAGAACCAAAAGCTGGCAGTAGAGTTCCTTCTTGAGCAGGATGCTTTGAAATACTTCATGGTCCAAATAAAGTTGTGGATGTAGTAAGCAGGTATCCCTATGACCTCAAAAGCCAAACCACAAGATAGTTTAGTACCATTTTTACAAATGTAGAATGTCACATAATACAGTATGATCTAAGGAAAAGATGACTTACTCATATAGCAAGAGAGAGAGATAACCAATGGACAGCCCACATTGGTATCTAGCAATGTGAGGAAGCTGCTAGAGAGCTTCCCGCCATATTGGATGGATCCAAATCATGGAAGGATATGGTAGCAGGTTCTTGCACAGTGCTTTGCTGTTTTAAAAGCATTTTCACACATGGTATATCATTAGCACTGGACTTGGGGTTAGGAAACTCCTGGATCAGGATCCCAGTTCCATCATCTCCTGTGACCCCGAAGCAAAGAGAGAAGCATCATAATAACAACACTGGATTCTGAGTCCCAGAACAGGGGTTTACGGCTAGGATCTGCTACTTGCTACTCATTAGAATTCGGTCAGGCTACTTAACCTCTTTGGTGGAACTCATTTCCCTCATCTATAAAATATTCAGTGACACTCTCCTCTTAGCTGTCTCATCAACAAGACACTTCATTTCCCAACTCTGGGCATTTTCACTGGCTATCCCTAAGTATGAAATGTGCCTCCTCATCACATCCTGACTCCCCTGCCTTCCTTCAAGTCCCAGCTAAAATCCCATCTTCTACAGGAAGCCTTTCCCAATCCCCCTTTTTTAAAAAAAATTCTAGCATCTTCCCTCTATTAGTTATTTCCTATTTATCCATATATAGCTTCTTTGTACACATTTGTTTTCTTATTGTCTCCTCAATTAGATTGTGAGCTGCTTAAGGGCAGGGGACTGTCTTCTGCCTTTCTTTGTATCTCCAATGCTTAGCACTGTGCCTGGCACATAGTAGGCACTTAATAAACGTTTACTGACTGACTAGCTCTAAATTCCTGATCCTCAATTAAAAATCATTTAAATCTCTGAGAACTTTCATTACAAAATGAAAATCATAATATTTACCCTCCCCACCTCCCTCACAGGTTGCTATGAAGAAAGTGTTTTGTAAACCCTTAAGGCACTATGTTTTTTATTTATTTTTTGCTCTTGATTGAAACTCCAACTCCCAGTAAAGAAATTCCCTGTACCTATATTGTTTGGCAACTCTTTTGCATCTCAGGGACTTAGAGAGTTGCCTGAGAGACCTCAGTTTAAGAGATTAAGTGAATTGACATGAGTCATACAGTCAGTATGCATCCCACATCTGAAAGCTTATAAATGTGATTATCTTCTTGCCACTGTATGGAAAACAATGCAGCATGATAGCTTTTCTTTTTCCAATTAACACACATTTTATTTTTCTCTCCCAGTGGGGAGGAAGGAGATGGAAGAGAGACAAATCTTGGGGCAGCTAGGTGGCGCAATGGATAGAGCACTGGCCCTGGATTCAGGTGGACCTGAGTTCAAATCCGGCCTCAGACACATAATACTTCCTAGCTGTGCGACTCTGGGCAAGTCACTTAACTCCAATTGCCTCACTAAAAAAAATAAAAAGAGAGAGAGAGAGAAACAAATCTTTATTAAGACATATCCATTTAACTCATTCTCCATTAGCTGGGTGGCTTAGTGGATAGAGTGCCCTGCCTGAAGTCAGCAAGACACATCTTCCTGAGTTCAAATCTAGCCTCAGACACGTAGCGTGTGACTCTCGACAAGTTATTTAACCCTGTTTGTCTCGCTTTCCTCTTGTAAAATGAGCTGGAGAAAGAAATAGTAAACCACTCCAATCTCTTTGCCAAGAAAACCCCAAACAGTATACTAACTGAACAGTATTTTACAGATGAGAAAACTGAGACTTGAAGAAGTTAATGTCACACAGCAAGTTATTTGTAGAGCTGGGAAAATAACCCCATTTTGCAAATAAGAAAACTGATGTCCGGAGAAGTTCGGTGAATAATGCCTCCCACACTGTAGCTACTCTATAAATAATCTATTGAATTGAATTGAATTGAACTGAATTGAATTGAGTGACTTGATCACATAGCTGGTAAATGATCTATTGCATTCTAATTCTAGAACCCAACTCTTAATTTCTTCTGATACCTAGCAAATACTCTGTTATACCACTCTGCCCACCCTTAGGCACCCTTAGGTCATTTTAAAAAGCAATACCAATAAGAACAAATAGGCCACACGTAGGATCTTCTTTCTGCAAGAGATACCTCTATTCTATTATGTTCTCCCTGAGACTACTGTTTCTCCATATTTCAGCTTAACTGGCAATTCCAGAAAATCAAATAAACACTCATTGGGTAGAGGGGCGCAACCCTGTCTTTACTGACTCTCCTGAAAACCTTTTGTGTGGTTGTACTAGTCATGTGGGCTTATTATAGGCTTCACACACCTAATACTAGGTGGTTAGGGGCAAGGCAGTGTTATGCCTCCCATCCCCATTTCAATCAGTTTTCTCTTAATGTTGGCTAATCCCAGTTGCAGACAGACTGTATTTTACATGGCTAGCTCAGTTTCTAAATGTACACACTCTTAGAAAATAAACACAATGTGTCCCAGTTAATGGCCAAAAGAAAAATCACAACCTGTGATTTTCCTAATCTGGTATAGACTTTGAAGTGCCCAGACCTTCAAAGCCAGTCCAATCCACACTGGCTCCTCTGCTTCATAAAGCAGCCCTTTACCTAATAGTTCAAATGGTTGCTGGTTCTGGGCCTCAGTTTCTTCACCCATAAAATGATCTGTTAAAGTAGATGATGTCTCAGGGCCCTTTCAGCCACAGACCTGTATGTATGGTACTATTCTTTCAACCACACCTTATTGCTTGAATCCCACATGTTATGGCTATAGTCATCCTGCATCTCCAGCTTCCTTCCAGACATCTCAAGCTGGATGTCCACTCAACATTTCCAAAACTAAACTCATTATCTTTCCCCTTAAACCCACCCCCCACTTTTTACCTTCCTTGTTATTGTAATGGGCAACACCATCCTCTCGGTACCTGGGACTCACTAAAGAGTTAATTTCAACGCCTCACTCTCTCACCCCTCCCATATCCAACCTGTTGCCAAAGCCTGTGAATTTCACCTTTTCAATTGCTCTTAAACACACTCCCTTCTCTCCTCTGACATTGCCACCACTGTGGTGCGGGCCCTCATCACCTCACCTGGACTGTTTGCAGTAGCCTGCCGGCGGATCTGTCCGCCTCGAGACTCTCCCCACTCTAATCCATCCTCCATTCAGCAACCAAAGTGATTTTCCTAAAGTGCAGATCTGATTATGTCACAACCCCTACTCAATAAGCTCCAGGGGTTCCCTATTGCCTCCAGAATCAAATTCAAATAAAAAATAAAAATAAAAAATCAAATAAATGGCATTTGCCATTCAAAGCCTTTCTTAACCTAACCCATTTCTCCACTCTTCTTACACCTTACTCACCAATACGTATTCTTTTATCCAATGACACTGGCCTCCTGGATGTTCCACGAACAAAGGCTATCCATGTCATGGCTCCAGGCATTTTCTGTAGCTATCTTCCATGCCTGGAATGCTCTCCTTCCTCATCTCTGCCTCCTGGCTTCTTTGACTGTCTTCAAATCACAACTTTAATCCCATCTTCTTCAGGAAGGCTTTCTCAACTCCTCTTAATTCTAGTGCCTTCCCTCTCTTACTTATTTCCTATTTATGTGTGTGAGTGTATGTGTTTGTGAGAGAGAGAGACAGAGAGAGAGAGCACTTGCTTTGTATGTATTTGTTTGCACGTTGTCTCCCACATTAGATTGTAAGTTCCTTGAAGGCAGGAACTGTCTTTTGCCTCTTTCTGTATCCCCAGCTCTTAGCACAGTGCCTGGCACATAGTAAGCATTTAACAACAAGACACTTTACAACCATTATAGCATTTGAGGTCTGTAACAACCCAGAGAGGTAGATACTACTATCCCTGTTTTAGAGATGATTCTCTTGCCCACAGTCACATCTGTGAACCCAGGTCCTTTCTGACTCCAAGCCTAATGGTCTGTCCACTACACTTCTCTGATTAGAAAGAATCATTGGATCCTAGATTTAGAAGTAAAACAGACCTTGGGAGGTACCTAACCCAATCTCTATTTTACAAACAAGGAACCTGAGGGCCAATGAAGTTAAGTGACTTTCTTGGCTCAGGTCTCCCAGGAATAGGATTCAAACCAACGTCCACTTGACTCAAAACCCAGCATTCTGTCTGCTGCATGATGCTACCTAAAGTTGGTCTTCATCAAAAGAGCTCTAATTGCCGGTTTTCAGAATGTAGTGTCAGAAGAATAGGTAACCTTTACCTCTTCCCCTCCGGTGCATGACTCGTTTGGGTGATTAACAACATTTCTCCGTATACAGCTGCTACCTGAGGTTAGTGAGAGCCTCTTGCCCGCAGATCAAATACAGTCTTTTTGCCCAGCATAACACTCTCAGCCAGAGTTTTACACATTTTACAACTTTGATTCTACTGCCCTTATCTCCCCTAAGCCCTCCTCACCTCTTGTCCTTTTCTGCCTCATTTCTGGGAGACTGCCCCCCCTCCCCAAAAATTTTTAAAAAAAACCCACATTACAACACCACCAATGAAAAGTTCCTTAAAAGGAATCTGAATGCTAAGTAAATGCAAAATTAGTCATGGTTACAGAGAACAGATAATGAAATATATACCCTTGTCCTTCCTATTGGCTGAGAGGCAGGGGACTACTAAAGCAGAATATTGAATACATCGTCAGACAAAGTATCTGCTTCAGGCATTTCTGCTTAACTATTTTTCTGTGTCCCAAGGTGAGGAGGGCAAAGGGTGGGAGTTTGCAATTCTGGCCATTAGCTGGGCAAGGAAGGAATGATTGTGACATAAAAACAAAAATCATTATTTTTTTTTCTTAAATTACCAAAGAGTTCATCTATAATATTGACTGATATCTAGATTCTTTACAAGGTTTCCAGAAAACTATTTATCTGACCCTTTGCTGGGACAGGTCTTTCTCTCATGGCTATAGTCACTTTGTGGTATGATTCATCTATCTCAGCATAACTTTCTTTTATATTTTTTTTCCTCTTTAGCGCCGTGAAGTGGCAAAAACAGTGTTCTGTTTGGTTGTGATTTTTGCTCTTTGCTGGTTTCCTCTTCATCTCAGCCGAATCTTGAAGAAGACTGTGTACAACGAAAGGGACATGAACCGGTGTGAATTGCTTAGGTATTGTACCAGCCATTTACCTATTTCCTCACTCAAAATGAGCAAAATGAAGTTTAGACAAACTTCCCTAGAAGAAAATTAGGGCATCCCCCAATAGACTAAGGTTCTCATGACTCTATTCTGCACACTTCAATTGTCCCTTTGGGTGTCCACTCTCTTCAAGCCTGAAAAAAAAACCCACAAGGCTCCTATCATTTAGCTGCCATCCCTTTGGGGGAGAACCTCCCTAAAGGAATCAGACATTTAAAGGCACAAGGGACTTAAGTCATTCGGTCATTAGGTCATTCAATCCTCTCACTTTGTGGATGAGGAAACTGAATTACAGAGAGGTCAAGTATTTTGCTCATGGTCAAACAGGTAACTAATAGAGTTGGGTTTAGAGCCCAGATCCCCAACTCCAAATCCAATATCTTCCCACTACAACATGCAAGGAGACGAAAAGAGTAGTTTCTTCCCTCCTTGTCTATAGTCTTCCTGCTAATATGTTTAAGGGTGCTATCCAAACTATGTAGCAGCTTTTGGGGCCAAAAAAAAAAAACCCCTTATGAAACTGAGACTACCATCCTAAAAAAATTAGACTATAGAAATGATTTGTTGGAAATGGCTTCTGGGCAGAAAGAATGCTTACTTCAGGAATATGTTCTAGTTAGCATATGAAAAATAATGTATGTTCTAATTATTCTACTTTATTTTCTTTTGCTCTAGTTTCTTATTGCTTATGGATTACATCAGCATTAACTTGGCAACTATGAATTCATGTATAAACCCGATAGCACTATATTTTGTCAGCAAAAAGTTTAAAAATTGTTTCCAGGTAAGAGCTCTTTAGGAGGTGATTTTAAGAAAAATGAAAAATAGGTAACAATAGCTGGCATTATGTATGACATTGTCATTATTGATTTTATTATTAATACTAATAATATTAGCTAACAAATAATGCTTTATGGTTTAAAAAGCACTTTACAAACATTATCTCATTTTATCCTCACAACAACCCTGGGAATTTAGTGTATTATTATCTCCATTTTACAGATGAGGAAACTGAGGAAGACAGAGATTAAGTGATTTATCCAGTCTCTGAGGCAGGATTTGAACTCAGGTCTTCCTGACTTCAGATCCAATGCTCTATTCATGACACCTAACTGCCCAGAGCATGGGAAATGAATAGCAGACCTTGACAATATTAACCTTAAAATATTGTTTTTACCAGCTGGAAGAATTGCAAAGAAATTAGATGAGATGATATTCAATATATATAAAATAATACATATATATATTTAATTTAATATGTCAAACATCTATTAAGCATCTCTATGTGCCAGGCATTGTGTTAAGCCTTTAATAGACAAAAATGGAATAATCCCTGCTCTTCATGAGCTTATATTCTACTAGAAATGGATGGATGGAGAATATAGCATGTACACAAATAAGTATGACAAGTAAATACAAAAAGTAAGTAAATAATATAAGTAAAGACAAGCCATATACAAGATAATCCAAAGTAAATTCAAGAAGGAAAGAACTGATAACTGGTTGAATCAAGCGAAAGTCTTTTTGTAAGAGGTGACACCTGAACTGTACTTTGAAGATTTCTCCAAGGCAGAAGTGAGGAAGGAGTGCATTCCAGATAGGGGATTTGTGCTATATACAAAAACATGGAGGCTGGAAAGTTTCAAATAGATGACATAGCACCTATAGAGCCAGAAACTAGAAAGTAACTCCTATCTGAATTACAGATAGTTAATCTTAATTAAATTATTATGTTTTTAGCATGAAAGCATCATAATTAACATAGCAGCCCATAATATGGAATTTTACTTGTCGCTCCATCAGCTGAATCTTTGGAGTTGATGCTCAAATTGTTAAATATTTATAATAGTCATAAAACTGTCCATTAACCAGGAACATTAATGGCTAGACAAATGCTAATTAATTAATCCTGGGGAGACAGGGAGGCGGAGGACAGTCCACTTGGTTGATCTATTGATCTAAGGGCCATTTTATTTTTTTAAAATACTGTAAATGTTTTATTCATGTGCATTTTGCCCTGAACACTATTACTTCCCAATGACTCTGCCCAACATCCCCAGTAGATCTCTTCCTTGTAGCAAAGTACTACTAATTGCTATTGTTTGATCATTTCATTCTTATTCAACTCTTTGTGACCCCATTCTGGGTTTTCTTGGCAAAGGTGCTAGAATAGTGTGCCATTTCCTTCTCCAGCTCATTTTACAAATGAGGAAACTGAGGCAAACAGGATTAAACAACTTTCCCAGACTCCATCTGAAGCCACATTTGAATTCAAGAAGAGTCTTCTGACTCCAGGCCCAGCACCCAAGCCACCTAGCTGCCCCTAGAGTATTACAAAGACCAAAACAAATCAACACAATGATGGTGCCTGACAGTGCGCTCCTCATCCCATGACTAGTTCGCTTATCTCTCTTCAAAGAGGAGAGAGGTAATACACCACCAGCAGTCCACTGACATCATAATTAACTGCTGCATTGCTCAGAATTCAGCTATTTTTCTGTTTGGTTTTTAAAGGCTACATTACAACAGCACACTGAGAGCTAAGCTGGTACCCTAACTTGACCAAAGAAATAGAAAGCATACTTTGTGACTTTTTTACTCAGCCTTCTCTCATTAAACTACATGGTCTTCCTTTGTTCTTTGCAAGTAGAAAGAATTAATCAGGAGAGAGACAGGATGACTGTTGACTGGATAACTGGAAGGAACAGCTTTTTATTTTATTGCTATTAAACGCATATTGTATTTTTTAAGAGTTAAACTTGTGTTATTCTATAGTTTATTTATAACTTATTGACTCATTGGGGGAACTAACTGATAGAATTACATTTTTCCAATACTTTCCTCTTTTCCAGTCATGCCTCTGCTGTTGCTGTTACCAGTCAAAAAGCCTCATGACCTCAGTACCTATGAATGGAACAAGCATTCAGTGGAAAACCCATGAACAAAACCACCACAACACAGACAGAAGCAGCCACAAGGACAGCATAAACTGATTCCCAGAATACCAGCAATGCCTCAAGCCTTATGAAAAAAGAAAGACTGATCCCCACAGATGTTTTGCCAGGAAGTTTACCAATTTTCTCATTCTTCCCTGCCCCTGCCCCTGAAGAATGCACTTGAGAATTGCCATCCAGTAACCTGGTTATGTCTTTTAAGTCCTGTGAAGCTGACTGCTTTCAGCTGACGTGACGTTTTTCAGAGATGCCATTCAGCAGTGTTGGGGGGAATCTGGAAAGAACTCTTAGAGTTCTTTGCCCCCAGGGACATATCTGTTGCTTTTGCAGGAAGTGAGAGTTCTCCCCATATGTGTGACTGGCATAAGGTGCACCTTCTGGCTGAGCTGTGCTGGGAAGCGGCACCATGAAATGCTGGTGAGGGCCACAAGAAAGAAGACTGTGAACAACATAGTGCATCTCCAGCCTCTTGAGTGTTGAAATTTGTTTTTCTTATAAAACACAGTATGGGTTTAAGCCACCTTTGTTTTAAATGTCAGTCCACACCAGTATTCTTCTTAAAAAGTTACATATCTTAGTAGCATAGTCACAATCATTTGCTCTTGTTCTACACACATTTTGTAAAGAAAGCAGTAGATTTAGTGAGCAGTCAGAAGGTAAGGTTTCACTAAGCAATGATGAATCTATAAAAATGTATGTCTTAAAAGCAGCTTAAATTTAGGTACTTAAAACTCAAACTGAAAGCGCCAGAAGGTACGATGATGTGCTATTAATAGACATTTACTTAGTGCTTTAATTTGCAAAGTGCTTTATGAATGTTACTCCATTTGAGCTCCAGAACAGCCCTAGAAAGTAGCTACTACAGATAGAATTGTCCTCATTTTATAGATGAGGAAACCGAGGCTCAGAGAGAAGTGACTTGCTCAGGATTACAAAGCTAGGAAATATAAGAGGCAGGCTTTGAACCCAGGTCTTCCTGTCTCTCAATCTAGTGTTCTGTCAGGCTGCAACTCTAAGTATTAGTCTAAGGACTTTTAAAGAAACCTCTTGGGGAAATTTTTTAATGGTCCTTTCTAAGCTAAAGGGCATACTGAAACTCATCATAAATTCCCAAATCACATTTCAATTCCACAGGCATTTACTAAATGCTGGAGTTACTTTTGGATTTAATAGTCATTTTCCACAAGCCCATTCCTTTCTTCGGGAGTATCTATTTCTCCTACAAAATGAAGAGAATGTACTAAGAAGTAAAAGACAAAGCACTTAAACTATTTCTGAAATTTTCAGTAACTGTCACTGACTTAAGAGGAAATGCAAGGAAATATGGAATTCAAAGTCTAAGCAAAGTATCCCATTTTCATTGGAGGTTTTTGTTTGTTTGTTTGTTTGTTTTCAATTTTGAAGCCTAGTAATCCAAACTCTAGCAGCATTTCTTTTGCTACATCTGGATATATGCTTTAACTCTCAGTGATTCTCAAAAATGGCTAAGTGATGGCACCAGTTCTTAGCTACTGAGTGTTCCATGTCCATCCTTAGACATGGAACATTAGACATGCTATGTTTCAGTGCCTCTTCTCTCTGCTACAGAAGACTGCTAGAAGAGTGACGGGGTTTTACATGCCAGGTTGAAATGTAGCCATCCTAAATGCCAACATGGACTTCTTCATGTCCTGGGTCCAAAGCGCGAGCCTTCTTCACGTTAACCTGCTCACAAGGTCACCATTTCAAAGTGCTTCCAATGACTTATTCTGGGCAACTTCCCAGATGTTTACAGTCTGTGCACAGCAGAGAGCCTTCAAGTGTACATAGAAACACCATTTGTAAATTTCTTTGCAGAATTTTTTTGAGATTAAATGTCCATGATGTGTCTTTGTGTATGTACATATGTGTGCATATAATATATGCTGTTGTGTACCAAACCATAACCTGATAGTATTGTTCAAGAGTAGTGCCCCCTAGTGGACCTTGAAATGTCCTTAGGGGACACTTAACCAGGATGATTAATTCTACATCAGAAGCCTCTTTGTTCCCAAAGTTAGTGACTAGGCTTGTCATTCCAAAGGGGTGATCCAATACATTGAACAAATGACTGGCTGTGATATACAAGGCCAATGCAACAAGATGATTTCTTTTTTTTTTTCTAACTAATTTTTTTGATGAAGTAACATTGGGTTGTGTCACCTCCTGTGCTACAGTGACAGGAATGCATTCTCTTATAATAACTTCCTGCTGCCACCCCCCTCTGTCCATAGGCACACATAGGCAGCTATGTGTAATGAATAGAGGATAAGCCTTGGGGTCAGGAAGACCTGAGTTCAAGTACTATCTCTAGCGTATCATGGCTGGGTGACTAAGTCACCTATCCTCTCAGTGCCCAGGAACTTCTTGCTAACTATATGTTTCAGACTAATTGACACAATTTGCAATAGTAGAGGGAGTTTCCATACACAGCTTTCCCTATCCTGATGAGGTCATCTGGACCAGAAAAAAAAAAAAAGGACAATACATTCATGAGGATGCCAAGTAGTGCTAGAAGACAGTGCCAGGAATCCTGCTTTGCTGACACAGAGCTAAGCTTATTTATGGTGCTTCATTTAGACATGATCCCAGACACCATTCCCCCTAAAAACTTATCCTAGGTTCTGCCATTGAAACTGAGAGGCTAGAAATTTGTGTTTATTCAAGTGTTACCCTGTCACATTCCCTTCATTTATTGGTACAGCACATGAAACGACATATGCCTATAACATAAGCTATAGTATTACAAGAATTTTGTTTAGACAATCATAATTGTAAAAAAAATACATGGTTTCTTGCATATGGATAAAATGTATTTTATAAATCCAGAACGTCACACATTTCTGGCATCAAATAGTAATTGCATGAGCTTAAGTATGTGGGTTGTCAATAAGCTTAGTAGGAGATAATTATGCTTTTGATGAGGCTAATTTCCACAATATTTATCATATCTATACAGCAAAGTGACTCCCTATAGAAATGAGCCAGATGCCAAGGTCCCATGATGGAAGTGGCCCAGAAATGTAAAATAAAGCAGATATTCCTACAAGTATTGCTGGTATTTTGATGATTATTCCCACTTTGTTCTCCATAGGAAAAATACCCCGCTTCTCTTCTTTCTCCTCACCAATCATTTTTACACGCACATAGTTGCTAAAATAATCTTCTTAAAACACAAGTCTGCGTCACTCCTCAACTATACAAACTTCAGTGGCTCCCTATTGCTACTAGGCAAGAAATGCAAACTCCTCAGCTTGGTCACTTGCAGCCTTTCATGGTCTGGCTATAATGGATCCACCTTTGTAGATTTCCTTACCACATTACTTCCATTTGCACTCTATGCTCCAGCCAAAGTGGCTTACTCAGTGTTTCCCAAATCAGAATTCCAGGTCCTGCCTCTGACTTTGCCATTCCAGGAGGAGTGACGTCAAGGAAGTCAAGGATAAGGTTCCTAATGAGGGAAGACCAAAGAACAAGACTGGAAACTGAAACCAAGGAGTCAAGACACAGAGTCAGTCACATCAGGAATTAGAACAAGGCTCTATCATTGTTAGAAGCTCCTTTTGTTTGCCCCAAGTTCTGTGATCTGCAGGTGGTTCTCTGGTGAAATCTGTTAATTCAATGTCTTTGTCTCTCCAGTGCCTGGCACATAGTAGGGGCTTAACAAATACCTGTTGGTTGGTCTGTGGTCAGGACTTTTTAGAAAATTACTCCGCTGTTGTCTTGAATGCAACTAAATTATATACTATATACATACATATATGTGTATATATATATATATATAATTTTTATACTAAATTATATTTCCTGCCTCCAGCTCAACAAACATTGAAAAGGATGAATACAAATTCCTTAAACTGACATTTAAGGACCTTCTATGTGCAAAGCACTGTGCTATGTGGTATTTATATACAAAGATAAGAAAATGACACCCTACTGAGTTATTTCCTCAGTATATACATCTCAGAAAAGTGTCAGAGATGGACAATGACCTGAACCTAGCCTTAGGAGGAGAAGATCAGGTTGCATCTCATTTAAGAATATGTGGCATGTTGAATAATTCCAAGATTTTTAACATTAAAATATAATAGGTACAATATTCTCCCAGCACAGATAAAGAAACACAAGGTTTCTCAAAGAACCAAAATCTGGGATAACACAAAGAGTAATGGAAAGATGCTTAATGGGTAGAAGAAGACTGAAGTACAGCTAATCATGCAAGTCAATGGGTGGTATAGATTGTAAACTCCAACAGAGTTCAAGCTAATCTTACTGTATCTCAAACATGGTTCTCCATCTCCTGACCGTGGGCCTTTGAATTGGCTGTGCCCTATGTTTTACCTCTTCTACTAAGATTTCCTGGTTTCTTTCAAAACTCAGCTAAAGTGAAACTTTACATGAAGCCTTTACTGTTCTCTCTCCCCCATTACAGGCGATTTTGTATAAACTTATAAATGTAGCTGATGTTTTCTCTAGTAGAACACAAGTAACTTGAGGACAGGGAGTCGTTCAGTCTTGTCTTTGTTTCCCAGTGCCTAGCACAGGGCCTGGTACACTGTAGACACTCACTAAGTGTTTGCTGATTGATTAAAAACAAGGAGTAATAAGTCATTTTGTGCTAAGGTGGTCAGGAAAGGCTTCCTAGAGGAGGCAGAATCAGAAATGGCAGCCCCATGTAAACATCCCCTCTTTGTGGACAATGAGAGATAACCCAAAAAGGCTTTACGGCAAAACTCATGTAGAATATTAAATTTACGTTAATAGTGACATCTAAGCTGAAGAAAGAAAATAAGTTATCTCCAAAACAAGATCAGGATGCCAAGGAATATGCAGGCTTTCATAGGCCAATTGCTTGCCATAAGTCTGCTCAGCTTATCCAAAGCAGAACTCATCATCTTCCTTCCCATCTGCAGCTCCTCCTAACTTCCCCATATCTTTTGAGAACACTACCATTCTTCCAAGATTTGCAGCCTTGGAGTCATCCTTAATTCTTCTTCTTTTGTCACCATCCATATCCAATCAGATGCCACCTCTTGTCAATTCTATCTCTACCACACACCCTGAATCCACCATCACCACCACCCTTTGCTTCACTTGCAAGGCTGTCACCCTAGTTCAGGACCTTAATGCCTAGAAGTATAATAGCTTCCAAACTGGAATCTCAGCTTCTAATCTCCGCTTTCCAATCTATCTCCCATGCCACTCTCCCATCATCTCCCATACCACAGTCCCATACCACTTTTTTATTTCAGGTAATATGTTGTTTATCCTTATTGTTTTTAATCTGTCCCTCCTACCATCCTGACCCCCAAAGCTAGGCAGATTTTTTTAAATCCCTTATATATCCACATAATCTGCCAAAATCAAGCCCCACATTAACTATGTGTAGGAAAAAGATGTCTCTTTCTGCTTTTAAGTCCATTTCCTCTCTATCAGGAGGTCAGTAGGATGTGTCATCTTCTTTCTTTTGGATTCATGGTTTATCATTCTGTTGCTCAGAGCTCTAAAGTCTTTCAAAGGTATTTTACTCTACAATGTTGGGTATCATTCTATAAAGTGTTCTCCTAGCTCTGTTCATTTCATTCTGCTTCATTTCATAAAAATCTTCCCACTTTCCTCTAAAATTATCCATTTCAACATTTCTTACAGCACAGTATTATTTCATTACATTCAAATACCCCAATTTGTTTAGCCATTCTTCAATAGGAAGATATCTTTACAACTAGCCGAAAACAGCTGCTGTAAGTATTTTTGTATATGTATATCTTTTTCCTCTTTCTTTGACTTCTTCAGGGTATTGGCCTAACAGTAGTACAGCTGGGTCAAAGGGTATACACAATTTGGCAACTTTTTGGCTAAAGTTCCAAATTACTTTTCAGAATGACAAGACAAATTCAGAACTCCACCAACCGTGTGCTAGTCTACCTGTTTTCCCAATAGTTTTTTTTTTTTATTTTCCTCTCTTGCTACCTTAGCCAGTGTAACAAGTATGAGGTGAAACCTCAAGACTGATTTAATTTGCATTTCTCTAATTATTAGTGATTTAGAACATATGATTGTTAATAGATTGAATTTGTTCCTTTGAAAACTGTCTCTTACATCCTTTGACTATCTATTGGGGAATGGCTCATCATGTTATAAATTTGAATCACTTCAGTTGAATCTCGGAAATGAGAGCTTTAAAAGAAAAACTTGTTGAAACGATTATTTTTCCCAGTCATCTGTTTCCATGCTTATTTTCACTACATCGGATGTGTTCAAGCAAAAATATAATTTAATATGACGAAAATTTTCTATTTTATCTTTTTTGATCCTCACTATCACTTGTTTAGTCATGAAGTCTTCCCCTATCCATACATCTAAAAAGTAATTTCTTCCTTGTTCTTCTTACTTGTTTATGATCTGACTTTTTATATCTATGTCATGTATCCATCTGGAGTTTATCTTGGAATACAGTATGAGGTGCTGGTCTAGACCTAATTTCTGCCAGATTGCCATCCAGTTATCCCAGCAGTTTTTGTCAAATAGTGAGACATTCCCTCAGGAACTGGAGGTTTATTGACACTGTGCAACTATGTTTGTTTGCTTCTATATATTGTAGACCTAGTTTGTTCCATTGATCGACCTCTCTTTTTTAATCAGTACCAAATAAAATTTTAGTGATTACTGCTTCGTAGTATAGTTTGAGATTTGGTATTGATAGCCACCCTTCCTTCCCACTTTTCTTCATTATCACCCTTGAGATTCTTGACCTTTTTTATATAATTTTTATTATTTTTTCTAGCTCTATAAAATAATCTTTTAAAAGCATGATCGGGTCAACATTGAATAAGTAAATTAATATAAGTAGTATTGTTATTTTTATTAAATTGCTTGATCTTCCCATGAGGAATTAATGTTTCTCTGATTAAGCCTGTCAATTTCTGCAGTTACTCTTTTATACTTAGATTTATATAGTTCCTTGGTGAATCTTAGAATATGCACTCCCAAGCATTTTAAAGCTTCTGCTGTTATTTTGAATGACATTTATCTTTCTAGATCGTCTTGCAGGGTTTTATTGATTTTATACATATATATGGATACTGATGATTTATGTGGATTTATTTTATATCCCTCAACTTTGCTGGAGTTTTTAGTTATTTCAATTAACTTTTAGTTTGCTCTCCATAGTTCTCTAAGTATGGCCATCTTGCTTTACCTCTGATCTTATTGAAAAGGGCTCTAATATTTCTCCACTACATATAATGTTTGCTCTTCAATTTCAACAAATTTTATTTTCTACATTAAGGAAAGGTCCACTTATTTCTGTTATTTGTAGTGTGTTTTATAAAAATGAGTTAGATTTTATCAAAAGCCTTTACAGCATCTATTGATATAATTTTTTATTATTTATATTAACGCAACTTATTATAATCTTCCTTATGTTGAACTAGCCCTGTTTTCCTGGTTTAAACCCAACTTGGTGATAGGGCATAATCTCTCCAATGTGTTGTTATAGACTACTTGCTAATATTTTGTTTAAAATTTTGGTCTTAATGCTCATTAGGGATATTGGTCTGGAGTTGTTTTTTTTTTTTTTCCCTCTGCCTCCCCTTGGTTTAAGTATCAAGACCATATCTGTAGCCTTGAAAGTAGAATAGTATCTATTTCCTTATTATTAGTTTATGTAGAATTAGAATTACTTATTCTTTGAACAGTTGATAGAATTCACTTGTGAATACATCTGGACCTGAAGGGATTATTTTTTTTTCCTTTGTGAGTTCATTATGGCTTTTTCCATTTCTTTTTCTGAAATTAAATTGTTTAAATTGTCTATTTCTTCTTTTGTTGATCTTGACATTTTATATTTTTTTAAAGTATTCATCTATTTCCTCTAAGGTATCAGGTTTGTTATTAGATAGCTGGGAAAAATGATTTATATCTTTCATTTCCTCTTAAATTTTTAGTGATAAGTTCTCCTTTTTAATTTTTGACACAATTGGTTTTCCTCTTTTTATCAAGTTAGCCAACTGTTGATGTATTTTGTCAGAGTCTTCTAAATCAGCTCCT